GAAGGGTCTATGAAGCTGAAGGTAATTTCTTCCCCAAGTATCATATGAATTGATCCGAGCAGAAAACTCAATTTGGGATTTTCACAGGTCATATCTACCAGGGGAGAATATACAAGGTCAAATCAGTGTTTCTTTTAATTGTGTTTATTTTAAAGACCCATTTACTTAAACCACACTAGACTGTTATTTTGCTACCAGTCCAAGCCCTTCCCGCAGAGGCTGCTCAGCAACTGCCTTCTTTATCAGCTTAAATGGGTACCCGTTAAACAACCCTTCTTATGGCTTATCTTTCCAGCCACCCATTTGGACTATCAAGCTTAAGTGGCCAGTCCCAAGGTAATTTTTTTCTCTCAAGCTGAACAGAGATTCTACCGAAAGAATCTTTTGCCTCCCTTTCAGGTTTCTGTGAGTCACAAATGGGCTAGAAAGCTGTTAAATGCCCTGCCCCAAGACCTTTGGCCAGCCAGATCCACAGTCTGGTGACTACCCTCTCTTATGGACAATGACACTTTGCATTCCTTCTCTTAATGAAGTTGCAGCCTTTGCCAGTGGCTGGTTTTCATCAGGAATTTTAATCTAACCACTGCTTTCCTACTTTCTTATGTTAGATGAGAAACCCACTGACCAATGGTATCAGGATGCTGGGCATCTCCTGGGACCATGCTGACTTTCAGAGCAGAGCCAGGCTTCCTTCTTCCTTCTCCAGGATAATATCTTTGCCCCTAAAATATTCACTTCTGATTGCTAGTCACGCTTTGGGCTGCTTTTCCAGTAGGCTCTGGCTATTGCCTTTTGAAAATCTTATAGCATTTACTTTTGGTCTTATTTTAAATTCCTTCTGCATCTTTCTTTCTCCAGCAAACACTTTGATATATTTTTAATGTTGTAATTTTGCATAAATAAATATTTACAATTACTCTCCTTAGAAACAAAAAAACCCCAACCACCTGACGTCTCTGCTGTCCATTTTGACATTATTTAGGCTTTCTGCAGGTTGTTCGGTTAGATGAAAAACAACCCCAAACCCTGATGATGGGGTCAGGTATTCCTTTTAGAGAATGACAGCTGCGATCCCAACTCCCTCCATGTCAGGAACACTTGTTTTTGTGTTCTCTCTCCCACAAGTGTACAATACCCTCTCTCCACACCATAGCACCACAGTGGCTACTGGTGTCCCTTCCCTGCACGGCCCAGCCAAGGCTGTCATCCCTCACAGCTTCTCTTCCCAAGCCACCTCGCCCTTCACTACGGCTCCAGCAGTGTTGGTCCACAAGAAAACTGAGCTGTTTTCTGCAGCTCTGCCAAATGAGGTCTGCTTACAAATATGACACCTTCCTGACACAAAGAAGCAGACCCTCATGCCTATGATGTTCCTTTTCTTCAGGAAAATAATAGGAAAAAAGGCAAAGAAAGTGTGATGAATAGTGCCAATACTGCTCTGATATTACCATCCCACTGAGTTCTTTTAAACTGATCAACTGTATTCTGTCCATGGGACTATGTATCAGAATTGACTGTGGGAGAAAATTGAGTCAAGGGATGCATTTTTGGCATGCATAAAAGGGAGTTTGGGTCAGAAGCAGCACTGAGTTGTGTTTTTTTTTGCTTTGGCTGCTGCTGGTAGTTCAAATACTGTCCCATCTCTCTGCAAAACCTCAGAAACCTTGGGCCTGGATGAGCAGAACAGCAGAGCAGGAATGAGGCAGAGAGTCTTTCTACTACCTGAATTTGAAAGGTGGATTCCTTCAGGCTACTTCTTACAAGGTGCAGACTGGTTCATGTAGCCCCACTAAAAATGACAATAGAAACCATGCCTAGATTTCATCATGTGAGTGCAACAGTGCAGGAACCTCAGTAGGGCAGAGCTATGAAAAAAGTTGTAAATGACAACACCAACACAGTAATTTAAGGGTGGAATACAACAGGTTACCCTGAAGAGAAACCTGGAGGTCTTTGCTGTCACATGGAACCACAGCCACACGCTTAAGCACGTTGTAATATTATTCCCTGAAACATTTTCTCCAAAAATGATGCTTCAGCGGCAGCAGACTCACTCTTTGGAGCTGACATGACATTCAAAATACTTCCAGAAACAAGGATGCATGGTTGCTTGAGGCTGATGGGACTATAAGGTGGAGTTGGCACCAAAACAAAGATCCAGATTCTTCTTCTTTCCCCAGTTATTCTGCAAACACTTTCCAGTCCTACTGGTTGTTTACCTCTGCTTTCTAATTACTGCTTTGTGACCTGTAAACCTCCTTATTTGTGACCTGTTGCTCTGCAAAGATGTGTGAGGAAAGAAATAAAAGTATTTTTAGCCAAGAAGTTTTCAGACATCTCTGGAAAATTCCCAAATGCATTTTCCCAACTATAGGAAAGACAAGTCATCGCTTAAAAACATCCTCACTGTTAAATGTGATTAGTTTCAGAATTTGCAAGTGTAGTGCTGAAATCCATTCTTTAAATGTGAAATTGCATCCTGGTGCCAGATACGAATAATTGACTCAGCTGACAGTCAAGGAACATTTGAGAAACCACTGAAACAACTGAGAATGTAAATGGAATTAATTCATCTTCTGTACCCACTGTGAGATTTCTACCAGCAAATACAGAACTTATTGCTATTTTCTTAGAAGTTTTTTAAAATGCAGATGTAACGAAAGCACTAAGTGAATGCTTTATTATGTCATTTTTCATACCGAATAGCCCTGATTAACAAATAGTAATGGCACACAGGTATGTAACAGCTCCCCAGAGTACATCTCTTAATCCAGTCCTATGGTTGTAGGATTATGGCTGAATCATCTGCCAACTGGTTTTTTTTTCCACATATTATCAAATAAACATTGAAAATTCATTTGTGGCAGAAGCCTCACTAAGAGCTTGTTGGGTATAAAGGTGATTTTTGGTGTCTTGGCCAGGAGAGCACAGCCTGGGGCTTTGCCATGGAGCAGAGCTTGGGGTGAGGATTTGCCCAAACACTGGGAAACAGATCTCATGATCAGGTTCACACCTTCCCTGAGCATGAAACCAGAAGCTGTTGTCCTGTGGGGATGGGGGAGGAAAGGGGCATGCATGGCTGCAGTCTCTGCCTGGGAAGCCCTGGGGTCTCACACAAATAAGCCTTCAGGGCTGTGCTATGGGAAATACTCTATTGCAAAGAGCAGAATCTGGCATTTTCCTTCATGCTTGTCTCTTCTGCTATGGTTTCAGCAGAAATGACAAGTCTTTCCTCTTCTAAGGTTCAGGTTATTCATTTAATGCTTATTTTTTAAGAGGACAGTTCAAACGTGTGTGCCACAGGAGAAGGCAATGAAAATGTAAAATTCTTGTTTGTCTGTGTGACATCTACTAATGTCAGATAAATATAAAGCTCTTCAAAACAAGTTTTGAGGTCTAATGACTTACATGTTATTGCAAAGTAATTTGGAGCCTATCAGAGAACATAAATGTTCATGATTTTTGTACCTCAGTGTTAACAAATCTCAACATAATGGAAAAAGCATATCCCATTGAAAAGATAACAAATGGAAATGCTCTGTAGCATCCTGCAGAGCTTAGTGGGAAAATTGTTAGTTCCTAAAGGTTGAAGAAAAGGGATTAAATTGTTATCAAAGTATGTACTTCTTTGAACTTTAGGTTTTTCTAGATGTTATCTTACAAGCTATCTGAAATAATTACAGAACTCTAATGGGTGCATTATTTAATGCTATAGGGCTTTTCCCAAGGGATTACTCTTGTGGCCCTCAGACTCTTAATATTTGAATATGAATGGACTGTTCAAACCACTGGGAGTGAAATACAGTGTACTAATTCTGCACATTTCAAAATATTTGTTAAAAACCCCTGGAAGAGATCATGCATAGTGTTAGTGCTGCTTAGTGCAGACACCTAACCTCTCACAGAAGGTTCCCTCCTGATCACCCTTCCCTCATAAATGCCTCAAATGTAAACCATCTGGCTCTGAGGGCACACCAGAGAAGTTAGAGAACAAGAAAGGCTGTGTGCCTCTAGATTCATGTCTAAGGTTGATTTTTACACACAGATTTAAAATATGCACCCCTTTGGTCACTGTGAAAGCCATGGGAAGGATCCATAGGTACAGCTGGCCCTGACCTACAAATCTCAGTTGAAACATCTCAAATTTGACACCACAGGAATCCAGCACATTAGTTAGAACCATCTCTATTGACAGATACAGAATAGCAGACAGAAAGCGGGAGACAGTGATTTGCCATAAATTGGTGGAAGTTCCTCAAAGAAGAGATGGAGTCAGAGCTCGCACCAGCTTTCCCCTTCCTTCACACAGAACATGACTGAAGGAAAGTCTTGCTGCTGAAACTGTAAAATCTATTAAGAGGGATCTCCAGTGCCCTGCCTCAGCTGACAATTAATTTGTTTTGTCTTTGCCCAGCAGGGATTTTCCATGCAGTGGACTCTTGTTTGCTATGTAAGTCATCTGAGTATTTGTTAGTGTCATAGCCAGAGCCAGATGATGTTTATTCTGATAACACCCAGTTGGACTCCAGCACCACTCATTGAGGTCAGGGCTTTATTTATAGAAGCAGATATACATTGAGATTTATTTTCTTTTCTTTCCCTTGCTCTAATCTACCTGAACCCATCCAAAATAGAAAGAAACATGCAGACATGCCAGTAATACACTAATTAGGCCAGATCCATGAATTAGCACAGCACCACAGAAGCCAATGGAAAAAAAGCATTTTAGAGCTGCTGAGGATCTTGTCTATTATTTCTCATGGGGAAGGGAAGGGAGGGGTTTAAAACCAGAAATTGTAAAGCAAAAAGCAAAACCAAGCAAGCAATAAAATGTCCTGGCATGTGGCAGGTCTGCAGTGCAAAACCCCTCCACCAAGATCTGCGATTTGAAGTATTTGTTTTTTTTTTTTTCTCCCGTGTTTCCAATCACCAGAAAGTGCAAGAATCAGAGTGCAGAGTGCTCCAAGCAAGGAAAAGTAACGAGACTTAAAGCAATTTACCTGCTGAAATTGAGAAGACATTGTCAGCGTACGCAGTCTGAGATAAAGCAAAGCAGAAGAGAAGCGGCAGGTAAGATCCCCAGACAAGCAGGCTGAGGACCAACATGCTGGCTGTGCTCTGGCAGATTCCAGCTCAGAGGCGCAGGCAGGGCTGCTTTGGGGCTGGCTCTCTTGCTACCCTCACTGCCTCTCTGCCTTGCCTGCTCTCTGCCTCTTCCCTCACTATGGGATGCGTGTCTGTCTGTGTGTGTACGTCTCTCTTTCTCTCCCCCCTCCCTCCCCGTGCCTTTAGGAAGAAGGAATGCCAACCATTTCCCATTAAATCTTCTCCTTACACTAGACACGGTTATATTTAACTCCTGTGCTGGATCAGTTGCCCCTATTGTGGACATTAGCTGCTAAAACTGGGGCATGGGGGATTCTGGTTTTGCTAACAGAAGCAAAAAGGCACTTTGGATAGTAATAATGATGAGCAGGAACGGGAGAAATTAAGAACTGGACTATAAACAGCATCCTTCAGTGCAGGCAACCAGACACCGGCATCGAGATGGATAAAATCCCTGATTGATCATCTTCTACAGGTCACTAATTGCCTTAATGAGAAAGATGAGCAGTGACCTAACATCTGCTTATCCCTGATAGCTATGAGTGCTGCATTCATGTACAGAGTGCAGCTCGGGGTGAGGGATGTCACAAAGGCTTCACAAACCGATAAACACATTATTATTTAGGATTTAAGTGAAAACGACAGTATCACTGGTAGTGCCAGACACTGTAGGACTGCACAGTTTACTGATGGGGTGCAACAGGTGGAGGAAACAATACACGTGCATAATGGAGTGAGTGAAACGCTATCAGCTCTGCGGGTGGCGACAGTCAACACACACCGCACTGTGTGAGGAAAACAAACCTCCAGTTCTCTGAAAAGCAGTAGGTGCCCTTGCTACCTGTACAGAAGTTTGGTGTTTCTGTGCCTTTTTGCAACTCACAGGGCTTTGCAAATTAATTTGCACTCTCTGAATAACTAGTAGAGAGATCCTTTGCTCTTCCTGGAATCCGACAGTGGTTTCCATGAAAATCCTTTACTGTGGAAAACATCATTACTCTCTCCCAGATGGAGATGGTTTTCTTTGTAATTGCTTTTTTCCCCCCCCTAAGATGAACATAAAAATATTTTTGATTAATTACAGATTTTTTTTTTGTTAGAGAAAAGTGCTCATTGAGAGAGATGATGACATGTGCCCCTGGGCACTAACTCCATTGAGAGCAAAATGATGCATTTCCACAATTCCAGCTAAAGAGTCTTGGGTGTTACTTACAAGACACTGCAAATATTGACAAAATCTTTCTAAATGTAATGGCTACATAAGAACAATCACATCTGCCTGATATATTTTTATCGTTAAAGGACATGCTTAATATAACTATAAGGCTTTCTAAAATCTCTAGTGCTGCAGCATACTGCAACACTTTGGATAATAGAATTTCTTTTTGAACTTAATCAACTTTATTCCACTGTTGGTTACCTTTTTGTATTTGGCTCTTGTTGGTGAAGAGAGTACTCTGGCCTCTTTCTTCTTTAACCAAGATGACCATGGATTAAGGAAGTGCCCTTATTTCTCTTGGCATGCTGCATCTCAGAGGGAAAGGAATAGATCTTGGGAAGTTCATCATTACAAGCCCTAATCACATAAGAGACCTTCATGATATAGCGGCAGTTTATCAACTCAGATTTTTATTGAAGAGCTCTCATTACAGGGCAGCAACCCAGGCCATGTCAAAGTGCAAGCCCTGTGTTCTGTTTCCTCTAATTTTAATGTGTTGGTCTTACTGGCCGAGACTGCTGGCAAGGCTGCTAATGGTTTAATCAGGAGAAGAGTGAAGTTTGTTGGGAATAAAATGGACAACAGTTCTGGGATTATTGCTTTTGACTTAGTCAGGTGACAGCACATCAAACTGACACTTCGTGCTAAGTGGCATCCATGCTGGATGACAAGGACATACACCTGGTTACACAGCTTGTTTCTGACCTCCATGGCATTGGTGCATGTGATAGGGAGAATCCTGAGGAGAGGAAGTGTCATGTAGCAGAGTGAGTCTGGCATGAGACACTTGACAAACGTGTGCTTTCCAGGCCCTGAACTATCTGCCATCTGTGAACTTGCTCAGTCAGGCAGTGCATTCCTCCAGGCTACTCCCAGAGGCTCGTGAAGCTGATGCAAGGCTTCTGATCCCTGCAGAGAGCTCTGCACCAGGTAGTTAAGGCCAGTTCTGTGAGATATGTCCTTGTCTCTATCTTCCAAACAGCAATCAATAACAAAGGTGTGTTTTTTTTTCTTCTTTCTGGAGTATTTTCTGCTGCCGCTGGTGTAGGGAAAATCCACATTAATACAACTTCATGATGCAACCACTGGAAAAGATCCCATAAACATTTGGGAATAAAAATACTTAAAATACTTGGGAAGTAATTTTAAAAAATCCTAAATTTTTTAGATTAAATTATGCATTTGCTAGAAAGTGAAGTGATATATACGGCATAGCTCTTACTCTTGCCTCACCTAGAATTGCTATTCAGAAATCAAAAGTGAATGGAAATACAAATATACAATACATATATATAAAACAAAGAATGGAAATACAATGGCTTTGGCAGTAATTCTATTTTAGATAACATTAGCTGAAGAAAGAAACACAGCAAAGTTTCCACAATGCAGTTTCTGAATCTTATAAGATACCCCCATGGCCTAAGTGAAAATATAAGATTTTGAGGACTTCACTTTAAAAAAAATTTTTCCATGGTGAAAACCTGAGAACACCAAATGTCACCTGCAGGTCAGTGTTCAGAGGTAAAGACTCCACAGTTTTATCACAGGGTATCAACTGCATTTTATAAAAAAAAAATTCATATTTTGGGTAGATGCCATAGCAATTAAAAATGTCAAAAGCCAAAAAACATATGAAGCAAAAAAAATAGCCAGCACAGCTTACCTGCTCAAGTAGCAGTTGCTTGGCCTTTTCAACCCAGACCACCACTTAGAAGTGGGTGGAAGAATGTGCTGATGACACTAACCTGTAAACGGAATATATCAACCTTTCTTTAAGCAGGAATTATTGAATACTTGTTAAAAAGAACGCTTCTTGCCAGCCCTCTCCACTTTTGGTTGGCAGGTACTATACCAACAAGCCAAGATAAAATGAAGATAAAATATCATCAAATTCTTGTATGAACACAGTTCTAGTTAGAAGGACAAAGATAACAATAGAACAGTTTGGGTCATCCAGTCCAACCCCCTGCAATAAGCAGGGACATTTCAATGAGACCAGGTTGTTCAGAGTCCCATTCAACCTGATCTTGAATGTTTCCACCAGCTCTTGGGACAAACTGTTCCAGTGTCTCACCATTCTTATTATAAATTTTTTTTTCCTTTGTATCTAGTCTAAATCAAACCTCTTTTAGTTTAAAACCATTGCCGCTTGTTCTATCAAAATGCTTAATATATAATTGAGACTTTCTAGTCCAAAAGTCTGAAAGCTCTTTTGCTGAGTAGGGCAAAGGTAAAACAACAACCTAGCGTTAATGCAATATTACAATAACAGCTTATGTCTGCAAAGTAGTACAGAAGAATTCTGTTCATTCAATTACTGTGGAAGATGGAAAAGATTATTTGTAATTATGGTTTCCTTGTTAGATAGTTATTTAGCAACAATTGCTTTTCACAATAAAAATACCTGTTCAATTTTGCACATCTGAATCAGTTACATCTAGAATTTAGATTTAATACTATCACAATATAGGTAAAGTTACCTTGGAAGATGGCATTATGTGAAGCACAAGGGCAGTTGCTGAAGTAAGAAAGATAATAAGTGCAGAAAGAGAATGAATGGCTTCATAATTTCCTTGATGGTGTATATAAATTTAATTCAGGAGCCCACGTAGGAACAGATGCAGCAGCTGTGCGATGAAGTAAATTCAACCACACAATGAAGTTCTGTCTTATTCCACAGCTCCACTCATGCCAGTCACGCAGCTGGCGACCAGAACGCAGGCAGGTGGCCAGTCAAAGGCAAGCCAGCACTAGTTAGCCTTCAGAAAGCCACCCACTGGATGACCAGGGTGAAGGAGGACATTGAAGGCAGGACACTGATGCCATGCAACTTCCAAAAGCAACACCTTTTTCAAATTAGTCCCTTTATGGATTTTATACATTGCCCAACAAGTAGTGGCCTTCTGGCCTCCTCTTTTCTTTATACTCTGTGTCTGCAGAAACACAAAACTGGCTGGGGAAAACATGTTTTTTACTCCTGTGAGTAACCCCTATCAATATGTTTCTTTTTCTATTGAGGACTACAGGACAAAAGAGTGAAGGACATGAACAAAGGTTATGCGATAATTCAAAGTGACTTCCATCAAAGCTGATGGACTTGCTGAATGCGTTGATCAACTGTGCAGAAAGTTTGATGGCTCCTCAAGATGCTCCATGGTTATTTGGTGCATACAGAGCACACCAAACACGTTCTCATTGTGCTGGATCTCCATGCAGATCACATGATGCTTCTTGGATGAGATGCACTCATCATACATGCTCACGCATTTGCACAGAGAAGAGGTACATCCAGGATTGCCAGGTTTTGGAAATCCAGGACAAACACTCAAAATCTCAACTTTATGGATAGATTAATGTTCCAGAGGAAAAAGAGGCTCAAAGAAATCCTGAGGACAATGGCCTTGACAATTGGAGTCCTGGCCAAATGAGATCTGCAGTTACTAGTATGGGCATAGATAAATAATCTTTAACATCCTACAGTGGTGAATCACAAACAAATTACAGCTATAAGCCAGTCTGTTTTTGGTATTTACATCTAGAAGAGGTAGAAAGAGTGCTATTTTTTAAATCCTATTTTTACTTGGATTGTCTATTGCTGTTATTTACTTCTATCAACAAAGGTCTGCAGAATTCCCTGCTTGCACTGGTATCACTGCAGTGCTGCTGGAGTTGCAGAACAGAGGAGTATCTGGTAGTAATTGGCTTTCACTAATTTAAGTGATTTATCATCTAGCTTGCCAAAGAGTCGAATCAACACAAAGTTGAGACACCATAAAACACAATCTTCTTTTTCTTTTCTGTCAGTATTTTTGAATGGAAAAAAAGTTATTATTGTTTTAATGCTCACACTATTCTCTTCATTCCAGAGAGCTGCTTACTTTCATACTGCA